GTGCTAAACAAAAAATTTACAGTGATTTGAATAAGCAAATACATCAAGCAGGACATACCGCAACTGGTAGTACGGGAAAGAATGAGTTGGATTTTAAAGACAGCTGTGGTTGTCATTAATAAATTTTTTGATTTTTATTGATAATAAATAAACAAGCTAATATGTTTAGCATGAATTTATCCATGATAAATATCACCACTAATTCCTTTTCCATTCAAAAATAATAAAGAAATACTGAAGTATATCTTCATTATCTTCTCTTCAAGCATTTAAATTAAAATCTTCTATATTATTTTTTTTACCAAAAATTCAGTATACTGTCACAACTTGTCTATGGTAATATTAATCGACAAAAACATGATTCATAAATATTTTCAGCCTGTATAATCAAGTCCAATTTGATTTGAGAATCTAAAAATTAGTATCTGAATTAAACATTTTAGTGTTGTACTATTTGATTCATCAAGAATACAATTGATTGAAACGTACTAGAATTAGTAATAACATTTGATAGACAAAGTTGAATGAGAAACTTATTGAATTTCTAAGTGAGTAGTTCATCGTAATGGTTTCATTTGAAATTAATATATCATATAGAAGGAAAAAATTAATTCCAGCAAGAATAGTATATTCTATTGATGTATCATCGACTAGGAACCTTCTGTTTTATTACTGTATGCATCAGGACTGATTGTTTTGAAATCTCCAAATTCAGTGCATTAACATCGACATCACTACCATTGGATATGACATATTTTACATTAGTTAAATGACAATGAAACCATCTAAAACTAAATTGACACAGAAAAAAAGTATTGTCTGAAACATTCAATCTAAATCTTTATATGGAATGAATATTGTATAATAATGTTTATAAAACTATCTAAAAGTAGATTTTATACCATTTACAATACCATTAATTACATGATAATCGAAGTTCAAGGATATTTAATAAATAATTACATACGCATACATAGCATTGAAGATTATAATGAACGAACATATTGAAGGTCAATTTACAAAGGCATTTAGATTTATCTGAATCGATAATTATAAAAAGAAAGAGAATGACGCAATACTTGTAAAAGAGAAATCATTATCGTTCGGGAAAAAAAATGAAATCAATCAAAGAGTTTTTTCTTTTTTTTCATTGTCTATCATTTTAATAAGATATTATTCTACTTATGTGAAATTCAAATCGTCAATATAAATTATAATTATAAAAAGAATCGATTTTATTTATTAATAATAAACAAACAAATGAGAATTTTTCTCAAAAAATAATATATTATAATTATAGCTATAAAAGGAAATGTTGCATTCTAATTTGCTTCTCAATTTATATCTATCAATATCTTTTTTTCTTTTATTTGAATTTACAAATAACAAGAACAATAATAATAATAAAAACTTGATTTTATGGTTCAAATTCAATTGAATCCATTGGGTGCGTAGATTCAGTATGTTCACCATTAATGACTATTGTTGGATGTTTTCCAACATGACGATTCTTATTACTATAATGATCAATACGTCGATTAGGCATTATAACAGGTTGTTGATACTGACGAAAATGTGCTTCAAATAATTGACTATCATCATCTTCTTCATTTGAATAATATTCATCATCTTGTTCATCATCTCCACCAGCAACAAATATATTTTGACCTGGTCGTTTAATTTGTGCACTTGTCGGTGGTAAAGGAGCTGAAGGACGTTTTATTGGCGATACAATACGATCACCAGGTGATGTATATGTTGCTGCACGATGTTTCGTATCTATATTACATTGTGGCAAATCTTCATCAAGATCCATTATATTTGACATTGTAGATGAAGCATAAGATTTATTAAGTGCTGGTAAAGTTCCACGTTGTGTTGATGCAAAATGATTAAAAACTTGTTTTTTTGAATGTGTTTGTTTTGGTGACGCTAAGATTGTTTCTGTACGAAAAAATGTATTATTATTATTAGTATTATTCATGGAAGAATTATATGGTACAGTTATGTCAGGTAATGGAGGATATTTTTTTACAGGCACATCAATAGAATTATGATCTGAATTATTTGGAGTAATAAATGATTGTTCACGTACAATTTCACGAAAATCATCAATTGTTGAACGAGTTATAGGAATAGTAGCAGTTGTTGTTGTATTAGGATGACTTGGTTGATATATTGAAGTATTGGTTATTGTTAAACGTGGAGCGTTATTTGAATTATTGGACATAATTACATTGAATTATCTAAAAAAATAAAGACGATACAGCTCATAGTACATGTATATTCTATTTCAATTAAAGATTGACAAAAAAAAGAAACTATCGAAATAGTAGTATAGAGAAATAATCAGTTTATTTGTATTTAAATACTTCTTTGTAAGTCTTTATCGGTAAACTTCTATATGTTCCTATTGACGAGTTTGTTGTAAGCAACATGCTATATTAAACAAAGAGAAGTATACAAATAAAAAATACTCATTATTTTATAAGTGATGAATTTCTTTCTTTTTTTTTGTCTTTGACATTCTTCTACTAATTTGTTTTATTTATAAAATCATAATGCAAAATTTAACTATGAAAATGAAATAATTTTTCGAAATTAACTTTGAACTCTATGTATAAAATTTTCCTCTGTATTAAAAAGAAGTTTTGTTATGAATAAATACTTCATACTTATGTGCGCATGTATGTAATCGTCAGTCGGCTACCGAACAAAGAAAAAAAAATAGAAGATGATGTGGATTGAAACTTTTTTTTTTCTTCTTTTTCTTTCTTTCTTCGATTTTTCAATGTATATTCTTTCTTTACAATAACTAGAAAAAGAAGAAGAAAATTGGGTTACTAAAACAACAATAATAACATGAGCAAAAGACAGAAAAAAGAAATGAAGTAAACAGAAAATCTGTTCATATGTCTTTTTTTTCAAAACATTAAAATTTAACAAATAGAAAGAAAATCATTGTTAACGTTTCCTTTAAATCATTAAAATATTTTTTTCTTCTTTCTCCTTAGAAAATATAATATTCATAGCCTATGGTAAATATATGTATGAAAAAAAAGGTAAACTCATTTGAAATTATATATATAAATGTGTATTTAGATCAATAAAAATAGTTCACATAACACGTTCTTCATTTATTATTTAGTTAATGATATTTATTGAAGAGAAAAATATTATCTAATAAGTTTTTTGAACTGCTTGTCGAACTAAATTGAAAAATTCTGTTGTATCTATTGCTTGGATAAAACTAACAGTTCGTACGTAAACTGGAGCAAGTAATTTTTGCCAAAGATGAACAGTGCCATAAGATGGACTACTATAAGCAATATCAATATCAGCAAGTGCAGAAACAGCATTTGTTATTAGATTAGAATGAATAAGAACAGCAGTTGCTGCTTCATCCCACATTGGAAACTCTCTTGGATAGTATTTAGCAATAAGCGTCGTGTATGGTGTGACTATACTAGTAATGTTATCAATATAAGATGAATTAAAAGTAGCCATCTGTGCACCTTGACCAACAAGAACAATGGAAGGAAAATCAGCAGTAAGAACAATTGATGCTGCTTCAGGATCGAAAAGAAGATTGAAATCTGAATTAAGATCAGCTTGAAGAAGTGAACCAGTTACCTAAATATACACAAATTAGTTGTTTTATTTATAATAGAAAATATTTACCTGAGCAAGATTTCTATCGAAAAAACCAGCTTGTACAAAAATTTCTTTGACATTACTTGCAAATGTTGAATTTAATTTGATTGCTAAAGCAATATTTGTCAATGGTCCAAGAGCCAAAATTGATACTTGATTAGGATATATATGTACTTGTTCAATAAGAAAATTGGCTGCATGCATATCTTGAGCTGTTATTGTTGTTGGAAGACCTTCTGGTAAAGCAGATAGAACAATACGTGTTGGATTTCCACCAGTTGGATCCGTACCCTCAGCTTCTGCTGTTACATTTTGTTCTTCAAATGCTCCTTTATATGGAATTTTGCCATGCATTATTTCCCATGTATTTGTACGAAAAGGAGTATTTAAAAGTGGATAAGTAGCACCTTTATAAACTGGTATTTTAGTGAGATTACCCAATTCAAGAAAACGTAATACATGTAATGTTTCTTGATCTACCCAACTATCGCCAGTTACAACAGTGATACCAAGAATTTCTGCTGCAGCATCCAATAAAAGTAACACTGGAATAAATGATGCTGAACCATTCCAATCATTGTCAACTATAACTTTACCAGTTGTTTTCGTTGGAGTTGGAACAAAAATTAGAAAACAAAATATTAAATAACAAAATGCACTCATTCAAATGATCAAGAGACAATAAAAACAAATGTAATAGTCACAGGTGAATAACTCAGAAGTAAATATCTATCACATTTTCTTATCGTAAATAAGGAGTGACTATTCTTCTACTTTATTTTATATCTATCACGTGTATGTACATTGATGTATACTTTTTCTTTCTCCTATACTACATCATCAATTTGACTTTTCTACAAATTCATAAAAAAAACAAATTAATCTCATTCGGTCTCTTTTCTTTGATTTCAAAACGAATTATAAAATATTATTAGCAATACATACTATGTTTATTTCGTGGAGTTATTCCTCTGGTTGGTAGAAATACTGGTATTAATGAAAGAATGATTGTTGACACAGCAGCAGCAATAGTTAATAAAACACAACAAATAATAGAGATTTGCTCATATTTCATTCTTATTCAACACGTTACTTTTACCTAAATAAAACTTATCAAAAAATACGATAGTATGTATCATTACACTGTGTAAACGTAAACCATGATTACTCAGGTATGATAATGACACTGATAAATAACAGATACAATATTTCTTTCTTTCGATCATAATTATTTATGACAGTTAATATCTTTTGAAATACACGTTTTGTAAAAAAAATATATCTACTATCTACAATATTATTTATTATTTAACTAAGATTTGAAGTTATATAAAACTTTCTCTTCTTCAATCAGATAATCGAGAAAATCTCTTTTTCGATTCAGGAAAATCTATTGCCAATGCAAATGTTGCAATAAATCCAAATAATATCGAAGGGATCAAATATTCATATTTACAAAGAAAATTCATATGAATTGTATCATTATCAAATGATATCATACTTAGAAATATACCGACTAATACAAATAAAATTGATAACCATTGATATAATTTTAGTTTACAATACACTTTTGTTTGAATTTCACCTCGAAATCTTTCTTCAATAAATCGACTTTGTCCAATTAAAATAAAATAAAGACTAATTATCACATATAATGATATATTTGAATACCAAAGTCTCCATAACAACATCCCGATAATTAGATTTGATAATATTGAATAACCTTGTGTTATATGAATATATTCATTTCTTAATTTTGATAAAGAACATACTCGTGATTGTGAATTAGTTATTAATATTCCAAGAAATTGATTTGTTGATCTACCATGACAACATCCATGGATAATACATCGAAAACGACCAACACCTTGTATCCAAGGACTTGCTAATGCATATGCTGATAATATTCGAATAAGAGGAATACTATAAAACCATGAAACAATCAATGATCCTACTACACCACCTATGATAAAACCAAAATAACCAAATGGTCGAGATAATCCACTTGATCTTTCAATATATTCACCCCACACTGCTACCATAAATAAAGATAATAAATTGATTAATAATACACCAGAAATATCTCCAATCAATGAAAAAATAATCAATCCACCTATTGATGCACTTACAAACACATAAAAACTTGAATTAATAATACGTAATCTACCAATTCTATAACATGACCATGAATTTGCTAAATTCTCAAAATAATTTCTGATATAAAGCCATAATCTAATTCGTTTAATACAAATTAAAAATAACAAAAAACCTCCGACAACATCAAGAATACTATGCATTCCTGTTGTTATACAACTGAGAGATATTAAGATTGATAAAATATAAAATATAAAAGTATACTTCGAATAAATCCATGAATAATAATATGCCGATAGAAATGCCCAAGAAACATGAAATGATGGAAATGCACATCCTGGACCATCAAAAGAACGTTCATATAATAACATTTCACCTAAAATTGTTTTTGGAATAAATTCTTTTGGTGGTGCAACAAATGGTAAAATAAATTGTAAATAAATTCCAATACTCATATTCATCAAACTATCAATTATAAAACAACGAATTTGTTGTTTTGTTTCTAAAATCAGTGGTAAAAATAGAACATAAGGATAAGTAAAAACATAAAATAATTCTGTCCATTCAATAACTGGAATATTATGCTCAAATTCAAAATAAGTTGATATTGAATAAGAAGGTGGTTCAATAAACAGAAGAATTTCATAGAAGATGAACCAAGGAAGAAAAACTAAACAATAAATCGATATGATATCTGCATATTCACATTTCATTTTCACATTTTCTGGTATATTTAATAATGTTTTCCAAGTATATTCTTGTCTAAATCGTTGTTTTAAATCTTCATTTTCATAACCATAAACAAGTGAAATCCAAGATAATGTTAATAAAGGAGAAACAAACAAAAATCCACTTTTAGATTCATAATACATTGATAAACCAAAACATATTAATGAACTTCCAATATAAATTGGATGTGAAAAGATTTTATAGACACCTGTCATGACTAATTTTGATGGTGGATATGCATTCATTGGAAGTCCATCACCTTTAAACCATAATTCTAACATGGCAAAAACTATTAAAATTATTCCAAACAAATTAAATAGTAAAGAAACAACAATTGAATTTGTTGTTGGTATTGATAGAACAATATATTTGTCTGTTTGTTTTGACCAGAATATCAATAATAATGGAATTAAAATTGTAAATAAAAATCCATAAAACATTTTTCCAAAATTATTGTTTATCTCCGATTTAAAATTTACATTTTCATGAATAGACCAACCTTTTGCAATTAAACAATTCTTTTCATATAATTCACTCCATGTTTCCCATTTACATTCATTTATATCAAGAAACTCGAATGGAAAAAACTTTTTAATCCAAACAAATCTATCAAATATTGTTTCACTTAATAATCCATTTCGTAAAATATATTTTTCTAATAAGATTAAACGATAATTTCCAAATTCAATCATTTCATCATTAATAATTCCATCGAAATATTTTATTCCATTATGAAAAATGAGAAATTTTTCTTCTTTACCAATCCAACGAATCCAAATAATATATTGATTTTCATATAAAAATCTTCCCCATCGTAAAATATCAATGGGTACTTGCCAAGGTTTTAAAGTCATTGTTAATTTTTCTACATAACCCAAACCTTTATTTATTTTATTATTAACATTTATTTGTGCTAATCCATTTGGTATAAAACATTCCCATAAAATATATCCATCGGCATTTTCAAATAACTTCTCACAAAAAATACATTCACTTTTCCTTTTCCATTCACCAGACATTCCATTAGAATTAATTTGGAAACAATCATCATCAAATATTGGTATTTTATAATTTAAAAGTGTTGTTCGAGATATTAGAGTTTGTTTTTGAATAAATTGTAAAATATTTGTAAAATTAACTTTCAAAAATTTCCATTCTAATTCTCCAAGATAAATTATTGTTACATCATCAGTTTCTTCATCAATTATATCAGCATACCATTTACAAAGATAAAAATCTTTTCTTCTGTTCATTTTAAATGAAGATCTTAAATTAGAAATTTTATTTCTCATAAAATTAATCTAAACTAAAAGCAAATGAGAGAGAGACAGAAAGATGAATAGGTTATAGATTTTGTTGCATCAAAATTTTCTATAAATGATAAAAATAGTCTTAATGGAATTTTCTATTTATTTTTTAGTCTATTTTATCTCATAAAATATTTAAGACAACTATCTAGATATTCACAACACCAATAAGTTATAGTATTGTGAATGTATTTATGATGATAACAATAGTCATCAAACAATCAAAATTTTCTATCTTGAGTAGTTTCATTCATCAGAAATATATTGATTTCAATCTACATGATATATCAATAACAAATTATGTTTCGTTTGGTGTATTTTACATGACTATGAACTGTGTTTTTAAGTGGATATAATTTAAATATTTATTTGTTATTCATAGATAAAAAAGAGATTAAGTTTCAAATAATTAAAGTTCTTTAGTCTCACGCATAACAAACAATTGTATCGAAAAAACTCAAATGAAATTATTGATACTCTTATAGTAAAATAACAAATATCTCAATAAGCAACTTCAAATCTCTATTATCGAAACAACAAACAATATTTAACATCTATTAAACTCACCAGTTGATTGTTTCATAAATCAAAATTCATGTATAATTAATTTATGCTAATATTTATGATTAGAATCTCTATAGCAAATTTTATTTTTTATACTATAACTTGTTATTAAAGCCTTATATATCACTTAAGAATGAAAAAGAAAAGTGAATGTTTAGAAGTGATTAATGTTCTTTTTCTATAACACGATAAATTAGAAGGTTAGATATTTTTGACAACAAATGTGAATAATACTATATTGACATAAAACCATATCGAAGTATGAAATAGACAAAAACATTCATGAATAATATATAGAAAATAAATAAGCATTTATTAATCTTTGCCCTATTTGATCATAAATATAAATAGAATGATTATTTTGTTTGACATAGTATTTCTATTCATAATCTTGAACAAGAAGTGTGTAATTAAATCATAATATTGATTTATAATAGAATGAGGAAAAAAAGAAATGTATAACATTTAACCTTGGTTTTAACAGTCATTCACTAATAGGAGATTGTGAGAAGTGGAATAGAAAAAGAATTTTATTTTCTTATAAAACTAACAAATCATAGTTATTTGATCATCATTTTATTTTTCAATAAGAATATGAGTATTATTCGAAACAAATATGTTATTGAGACTAAATAACTAATAGTAATATGCTTTTCATTTGTTTCAAAAACAATTTCATAATACTATTGAACAAGACTGAAACTGATTGATATTCAAAATCAATTTTTTTACTTGTTCATCTCACTCACTCACATTCGAGTGCAATCATATGCAATTAGATAAATCAGGTAGTATAAAAACAATGAGAATGAAGGAAAAACTGAGATTAGATGGCTAATTACACATCAACATCCTAGACTATAATTTCAAAACAATAATTTTAGAATTACATATTTATTCTTTCAAAAAGACTGAAAAAGCAACAAGGCAAATAAAAGTAATTAGCGATTTAAAACGTAGATTCTTTTTTTTGTATAAATTCTTGATTACCATATGGCTTAATTTGACAGAGATATCACAAAAATGCTGAAATAAACACACATTCAAATAAAATATACCATTATGCTAATATTCCATATAAAGATATCGCTGGAATACTTGTGACTTCATGTCTACAAACTGGACATGTATTTCTTTCTCTTAATGATTTCAACATACATTTATAATGAAATAAATGAGCATCAGGACAGGGCCAGCGTGCATATGAATTATTGGTTTTCAGTTTTTTCAGACAAATTGTGCACTTAATTTTTTTTTTCCGCATATCCGCATTTACAACTTGTTGATTATGTTCATGTTCATGATCCAAGCGAAATTGAGCAATAAATTCAGCTGTAGCTGGAGTAACAGGAGCCCATGGATTGTTCCAGTATTGAGTAGTGCTTTGTCGTTCGATCTTGAAATGTTGGCGATTGTTTTCTTCATGGATTAAAACTGGTAAAAGACTGTTATGCGCAGTTGTTGTATTTACTGCTAGAGGCTGCACTGAATATACGAGATCTGATCGGGTGAGAGCGCGACCTCGCTTATACCGTTGTGGTTTTTTGTATGGTTCATCTCGAAGACGTTGTTCATATCTAGAAAAAAAGAATTTATATTCAAGATAAAGTGTTTTCGAAGATGAATTAGTATTTTTCATAATAAAATTCTTCAGAATATTTAATAACCTATATCCTTCATTATTGATGCAGATCACTTTAATCTCATACTTAACAATGGCTTCATGAAATGAATAGATATCAATCATTTCATTTATTTGTATAGGTGACCTTTAATTATTATTTAAATAAAAAGTTATATTTATTATATCATATAATCTATTTTGAATTATTTTACAATTAATAAGAAGAAAATAACTATCTTGTTAAAAAGATGTCTTCTAATAATTACTCAAACAATGAATTAGAGAACATGATAACTATTCAACATAAGTTATCTTATAATAAATAATTTTCTATACCCATTATAATTTATATGAATACAAAGATTTATCTTTGCATTTTTCTTCTTTTATATAATTCAATTCAAAATGCTCTGCTATATTTTATTTTGTGAATGAATCAATTGAATTTTGTCTTACCGTTGTTTATAAACATCACTTATTTCTAGTAGTCGATCATGTAGCCAAATCGCATACTCATTTTCACCCGTTGCTGTATCTGGCCATGGCCATCGAATCCATGATGAATCTTCACCATAGCAAATTCCACCAGCATGTGTTATTTTTCGTATATCAGTAACAGGACAAACAATAAATGGCGATGATTCATCAGCAAGATCTAACCTCTCATTTCCATTCATTTTTAATAAAACAACAAACAATTTACGACGATTCTTTCGAATGATTACAAGATTTTCAGTATATTTGGATGAACTCTTCTGAATAAGTCTACCCAATCGTAGTAATTGTCTATGTGGAGAACCATCTACATTTAATACACGAAGCTCTTCAATGACAGCTGGGGTTAAATTCATTGAGTATGAATATATTCCAAATGAATATAAATGAAATGATTATTGAGTTGTTGCTGTTGTTGATGTCACGTTTCTACACTGTATAATACGCAATAAGTTGTTAACTTATACTTCTTTTGATATTTAAAATGATGAAAGAAACATCTAGAATAAACAATTGGTGTAAGAAAATGACTTACAACTGCATATAAAATAATTCCTTTTTCTATTATTTACATAAAATCGGAACAAACCAGAACAATTTTTTCATTTCTTTACTTCAAAAATGACTCTTTTCTTCTTCTTTTTACTGAGGAGAAATTAAGTAAATGTGCTTACCTGCGAATGAATCATCATCCAATGTAGTTAACAGTCACATGGATATATTGATGAAACCAAAATAATATATTCAATCAATTTCTCAAAAGTACACAGGATAGTATGTCTATAAAATATATCGACTATGGTTAAAGATTCTAATTTGACTACATGTAGATGTAGGGAAAATGACGAATAAAGTAAACAGAAAGCAAAGAGAAGTATGATATTATCGCATGTTCTACACCATCACTAGCACTTACGTACCCATACACATTCACATTAACTGAGGTATTTAGATAGGTTATCCGATGCGTTCAAATAAACTTGATGATTTCAAACCACTTTCAACAAATTTGCTTCATAAAGTTTTATCTTGCTTTAACAATACTGGCTGTACATCCAACAGTAATAAATTTAATGCTTTGACCTCAGTCGACAAATAATACCTACAGAGTGAATTCTAGCTTGAATTTTTGAATCCTATTACCCATATACATTGACAATCTTTCAATGATATACTTACTCCTAAATAGGTTTTAATAAGAAAAACCTCTATCAAAAATATGGAGCACGACATGTGGTTTGTTTTTACATATACCGTATTGATGGAATGAAAAGAAAAGGATTGATCCAACTATGATGTCATCTATTGTTCAACCTTCAATCTCTCACCTTCTGTTGATTATAGAATTTTTACAATCTTCTCTTAATAAATCATTTTACTTTATGAATACACTCTTAATATACTCACGTGTTTACTTTTATCTATCGATACTGCAGAATCTTATTCCATATGAAATACGAGAAATTTGGATGTGGTTTAATATAAGTGCGAACTTTTTTGTCAAAGTTATAAAAATTTATTTCGTATTCTCAAGATTCTCTGAAGTACATAATTATTTATAGTATTTCATTACTACCGATCGGTTGATTTAACAAGACATAATAATTTGTACGTTGAAGGAATTTATATTGAATAGATTGATAAATATAATCATATGATATACTAACTATGAGAAGAAAATGTCAAAATTATAATCATTATTATCAATTAATCACAAATATTCTGTGTTATTTAACTTAACAATATATAAAAGCATGTCTACTATTGAAAATTACAATGAGAGGATTCTCAAGAGTAGTTGTTGTTTATCTCTTAACAATCTGATTAAAACGTGGTTTTATTATTTGTACATATGTGTCTAATTAGAAATGAGTAATGTGATTGATTTGATTTGTTCAACCAAGAACTATTATATAAGAATTAGATGCATTAAAATCTTGAGTTTTATATTTAAAAAAAAGTTACTTTTACAAATTCTCAAAAGGTAAAGGATCAACACTGATTATATACATGTTGCGATGACGAACTTTTGCGGATTAGTTAGACATAACTGATCTACCAGAGCAACATTTTTTCAATATTGTTAAAGTATAATTTACAATAAACAGAAAAAAATGTTGCATAAATATGAAATCTATACTGATGAGCTATTATTGTAAGATGTTGACTCATCTATGTAGACGCTACTATAATGCTCTGCAACACATAATAATAAATTTTTTTGTTTCGTCATTGACAAACAGTCACATTGTCACTTACTATTGATTGAAATTAAATATTTAAGCAATCATTTCTTTTAGATTCAGAATTGATATTGAATTAATTAGAAAATAAGTTTTCCTAATAACAACTTGTCAGTATACTTATATTAAATTTTATTTATACGACTGTATTTTCACTTTGTATAGAATACAATAATAAAGATAAAATGATAAGTTCTACACTACAGATTGTAAACTAATATATATTTAGTTATTACATTATTCAATAAAAATTTTCATAGTTTAATTCAAACCAGCTCAAATAATAGTTGAAGTTTATGAATCAAATAGATCTTGATCATTAAATCAAATAGTTACTTGGATAATTTTCAACATATTCATTGAGTGAGTAAAAGCGCTAGAGAATGTTCTTCTATCTTGATATATACTGAAGCCATATGTTCAAAGAATAACAGCATACTATGATGAGAAAATGAAGACATTTTTGAAGGTACGCGTATGGATATACTACTTATCTCTTTTACATCGATTTTCTCGTAAAAAAAGGTAATAATAAATATATTTTAATATCAAATGAGTATAAATCATCAAGTCAATATAGAACGAATTTTCAATTCAAATATTTTATTTCGACATTCAAAAATGATCCAAATATATATGAATCGAGACAAGATTTTCAGACTTTCCATGTTTTGAGTAAAATACTTACTATCAATAATACAGGGTCTTTGGGTGCAAACAGTACGACTTGACTAATATCAATATATCCTTCGATTATCTTAAAAAATATGCTTTTATTACAGAAGAAAAACAGCTTTTTTATTTAATGCAGTATAACTAATAGATTAGTATCGAACGATAAAAAAAAATTATTTTCATTTTGAAGAAAAGAAAAAAAAACGTTTTATTATTAAAAGAGACGACATATTTGTTTTTATGCTTTTTATTCTATTCTGTAACATTCGTGAAATATGATAAACGACGAGTATGTTTATGAAGTTATCAATAATGAAACTACTGCATATATTTGTGCTCAACTTCTTGCTGAAGAATTTTGTGCACATAATCCAACTACAGTTTTTGATCAAATAACATCAAAATATTTTTTTGAAGAATGTGCATGGCCATTAATGAAAGATATGATGGATGAAGGATTATCATTTCTTGCAAGGCATCGTTCCTCGAAAGAAATTGTTGGTGCTGTTATAGCTGGTGATCTATATACATATCATCATAAACATCCATACGATTCTGCGACCCCTCCACAAGCAATTGCCGCTTCTGATTTACTTGATGAAATGGAAAATCTTTTTATTATACAAGATTTTGGACGAGCATTAAAACCAAATTTAGTTTTACATATAACTTTAGCTGCAGTTCGTGTTGAGCATTCCGGTAAAGGTGTAGCAAGTCAAATGAATATGGCTATGTGTGATTATGCACGAAATACAAAAGGTTTTCAATATGCTCTTGTACAAATAACAAATCAAGTAACACGACATATTTTTGTGAATAAAATGAAAGGAAAAGAAGTGACAACTATTGATCCTACAATTTGGTTATGGAAAAAGAAAGATGATGGTTTATTGTGCCCTTACAAAGAGTATACACATGGATTAATACCTAACATTCTCATTGACTTAAATGCAGACAATGAAATTTAATATTATAAAGTTGTTTAAGTGTTCTAATCATTAGATATAAGCGGTGATTGTAACAGTATTATTAATAAAATTTAAAATTCATCTTATGAAATAATGTTTTCTTTTTTCAAATTCTAATTAGTATGCTTAACAGTGTACGTATCTTGTCGATTTCTAATCATTATTGTCACGCAAACGTTGAATATACTGTTCGTATTACAGCAAACATGGCGAATGACTTATAATTTATTTTATTCTCAGTTTTAAAATAAAAAAAAAGGTTATTTAAATGTATATCGATTTTCGAATCATATACGTAGAATAATTTAAAAAAATATTTATCGAAATATATAGATATTATTTTTGTTTTTCAAATTTAAGTGAAGCAGAATTGACACAATGACGTTGTTGAACTATTTTACCATTAGCATCACGTAATCCTTCACCTTCAAATACATGACCTAAAATGTAAAAAACCTATTGTTATTTATCGTATAGATAGCACTTGTCTAGTTGAGTCAAAGTATGTATAAGTCATTTTTAACCCTTTCAGGACGGGACTATTTTTTTGAAAAAAAAATAGATTTTAAAGAATTAAATGATTCTGTTTTTTATTCAAATTTATTTAATATGCTGTGTACACGATCGGATCACCTAACGACACTATGCTCACCTATGTATGCAAAAGAATAAATCAGGAAGATACAGCATAATAGTTTAGTGCATAGAAGAAAAGGAAGAAAGTAGGTCATAATTACGCAAGTCATATAAGATATATATCACTGCTATAAGTATATTCTAACGTGTACACAACTACTTCCCATCGTCAATACATAACATGTTTCTTTTAAAAAAAGTCTGGTATATACGGTGTACCACCCGTCCTGAAAGAGTTAACCAATCTTAAAAGTTATAACTCATTTATTCATTAAATCAACCGAATAACAAGTATTCACGATCCTTCTAGTTACAATATATAGTAAAAATCTCTCTGAAATATACCGCTTTAGATCAGTGTATGTTATCTATTGAAGTGAACTGAATAAATAAAACTATTAATTTATCTGTATTTTTCTTTTAAATAAATAAGATGTACACAAACCTAAATGACCATCACATTTTGCACATAAAATCTCATTACGATGACCATCTGTGTCCATTTGACGTCGAACTGCTGTGCCTATTGATGAACTAAATGCTGGCCAACCACAATGTGAATCAAATTTTGATGAAGAACTAATTTATAAATATCTATATTCATCTACATAAGTCATATAAAATATCTTACTCATATAATTCTTGTTCACAACCAGCACATTTATAAATTCCTGTTTGAAAATGTTTATTATATTCTCCTGTACCAGGATATTCTGTATCTTTCTGACGTAATATACGATATTGTTCATTAGTTAATTTTTTCTTCCATTCTGCATCAGTTAAATTAACTGCAGGTAATTTTTGTTGTTGTTTATTGTCTGATGATGAAAATAT